GGATGTGTGGCTGTACAGAGGAATGGCAGTAAACAGGCACAATGTTATTATGTGTTCCATAGATTACTTGAAACCTTTTCCTCTATATATATACCTATATGAATAATATGTTATACAATTATATAAATGTTCAATTGCTGTGTACCTGAAAGAGGAACATAGTGCAGTTTTATCACAATTATGGGTGCTTTCATACAGATTCCAAACAAGACTTTACCTGAATATTTGTTCATGCTAGCATATCTTACATATATATGACATGTATGGCAGAAATAAAACTACCGTCATGCAAAATATTGTAGTATGTTAGAAGAATTAGTAGTATGTGAATGGTAAGAAATATGAGTGTTATGTCAAATGATATCAGTAGAAAAATGGCATCACCAATTATAAATCTATTCAGAGTACATACTGTGCGTTACATACAACTCCACATGATGTAAAACTGTGGATAATTTTGTGTCTGTTAAGTGTCTGACTTGCATACAAATTTCCTATATTTCTACTTCACAAACCCTAATTTTACAGTCATAGGAACTCCCATGCACATTCAGACCCAGTTTCACAGAACATACACACACACAAGGGGTCACACACAAACATGTCTTGTTATGTGTTCATTTAGAAGCTAAGGAAGAACAAATGATAGGATATGTATAGAACATGCAGTTGGGGAGTACTGAATTTGATTGCAGCTGGCATAAAACAGAAATCAGGGGAAGGGAAGAAAGCAGAGATACTCATCGGCACACTGATAAAAGGAGGAGGGGGAGAAAGAGAGAGACAGACGTAATTACATGTATTGAGGCATGGATACTGTAGAGATCAACAGTAAGAGAGAAATAAGGAGGAACAAACGAGAACCAGGAAAATAGTGGGCTGTGGCGGCTGAACATAAGGGAATAGAAAAATGTAAGGGGCTCTGGCTTCTGAATACATACTGGTGTGTTAATTTAACTTTCTGTGTGTGAGAGTGTGCTTTTGTGTGTGGGCTCACACCCGCTCTATCTGCTCAGCGACCCAGAGGAAATGGCAAGGAGCAGCATGCTGTAATGGTTTCGAGTCGGAGGCAGACAAATATATAGAAGCAGAACATTACACACCCTAACTGAATGTTAATACTCTGCATATCGGCAGAAATCTGAAACGCTTCACATAAGATTCCATTGGGCTTTGTGCTTTCGCCCGTTTCATTTTCAATATCATTCCGCCTTAGGGAGATGCACTTTGTTTTACACTGATATGCTTTTTTATGTCTGGGCACAGAAAATCAGCATGCTGAGATACGGGTGTGATGCGTGTGTGGTCTTCAGTCTCACTGCCTTTCTATTTTTCACACATGCACACTAGAGTTCAGCCCATGTGAAAAAACCCATGCTGACACTTTTCTTCTTGTATCTGGAATCCGTACATTTATTTAGCTCTATTTCATTTTATATTTAATGTAAACGGTTTTAAATTCCAAAAGATAAACCATTACTATTCAGGACCGAAAACCAATCTTGTCAGTGTAAAAAAAGCCTCGAAAACAGCATTTAGAGCATCATGGGACATCAAAAGTTTGCTCAAAACACAGACTGAATTAGCTGCTGGTTGGTAGCAGATCCACTGTATCTTTCTTATGTCAGCCAATATGTTAGTCTAACTGTAAACACAAGTACAACATGAGCGTGTGTGAGAGAGACAAAATAAATAACCAAGACTAAAGGACTACAGTGTTGATTACATCCCACAGTACAGAAGTTGTTTTTCTCCATTCGTAGACCTCTACCAGTGACTAGAAATGCTTAAAACGGAGCACAAGAGGAAGAACAACAGGGTCATTAAAATTTAAAAGGATTTATCCCAATGTGAGTATAAATGTGCTCATTTTTTTCTATGTTAATATCATCCTGCTTGTTTTGACTTTGTTATATCTTGTGAAATTTGCTCGACAAAAACAAAGCCAGTGGGTCACCAACACACTGAGCTCGTTTGGTATCCTACAAAGAATGACAGATTTCCAGGCAGTAGTTTTCCACTTTTTTCAACTGTTCCAGACAAAAGGTCAAAGGTAACCAAAGTCATCATCCTTGAATGACTCTAAGAAATATGGTAATTTGGCCAGCTGTGGATGAGAAATCTAATGACCAACATCATGCTTAGGTGCCTAGTGAGGCAAAATCAATCATAGTTTGATGATGAGACTATCTTGTCAAACAACTAGAATGAGGATTTTATAAATACAGATCTCATTCCTATCTTTCAAGTCAGGTCTGATAAGCAGCCCTTTTAGGAAATGCATGATGCCAAAGATGAACACTGTTCCACTAAACAGGCGACGCAGAGGTTATCAAGAAATGGTGCAGTTTCTTCAGGAGCTCAGTTCCATTGAGCAGGAACTTCATACACTCTCCTGTCAAATGATATAATCTCTGTGACAGAGTGTCACTAACATCCCCATCATGCGGAAAGTGTCTCACTGTTTGATTTTTGATGCGTAGCACACATGTATCCTGATGGGCCAGGTAAGGTCACTGACATTTTATGTATCATTTTAGCATATTCATGTGTATACGCGTATGTTTGTGACCGTGTGTGTGTGTGTGTGCTCAGAGAGTGCTGGCCGATGATGCTGTTTGGATGCAGGGCACACAGTTATATTTGTGACCGAGGTGGGATTGTCTCATTGCATGTCAATGAGGCCCCGTGTCACTCCTGTGCGATTACTGCAAGAAATGACACAAATCAGCTCTTCATCCCACAGAGACACACAGAGCGAGAGCAGGTAGAGACGGTGACATAGGAGGAAGGATAATTTTAGAAAGAGTGGGACTTGATGTTCTCAGATAATCTTGAGCATGTCTTTGCTCTGTTTGTTAGCGTGTGTGTGTGTGTGTGTGTGTCCTTACTGCTGCCAAAGCCAGCAACTCCTAACAGCCGCGATGACCAGCTGAGCCTCACACACACACCTCTGATTCTTCAAAAAAATGCCCCAAAGGACACTTGAGATTTTTGGTAACATGAATGTTTTGTATAAAAATGTGTGTGTATGAGATGTTGAGTCACATTATTGTGATGAGAATTGTGTCACATTAGCAGAGATTGTTTTTGTACGGTTTATTATTTTTTAAAAACATATTCATTACTCTGTTATAAGGCCACAATCTGCCTGCACGTGTGAGACAGTAGAGGTGACAACGTCACTATGACTGATGGAACATTTTGTCCCTGAAGTCCCGATAAGACTGAGCTGCATCTGGAGACCACACATACAACACATGCACACACACACACACACACACACACACACACACACACACACACACACACACACACACACACGCACGCACTATTGTGCTCTTTTAATGAGTGTATCAGAGAACAAAGCTGATAAAAATGCGTGCCATAGCCCAGCATTTAAAAAAGGGAATAAGAAATGGGCTGCTGTGCTGCCAGCATGCCTAATCACATTGATATATATGATGTATGCACCTTGCACACTTTTAAATACTGTTCTGGAATGAAACACACACACAGAGCCACACAAATACATTTACAGTTATATATCCTACATGTAAACAAATGCTTATTAAAAATGCACAAATATATAAATACTGTACGTCATGTCAATGTGGGTACAACACTTCACTCATTGGCATTTGAGTTCCACTTCCGCTGCAGGAGTTCATACACAAGAGGCACTCAGTTTTCACAAGCAAACACATCCTCCTTTTTGCAGTGTGGGTCTGTGTAATGTCCTGCTAACATAATGTATCATCCAATGCATGTTTAAAGTGTTCCCCACTTCTTCACTGCTCCTAAAATTTTTGCTTTCATCCACCCACTCATTTTCTGCCCTCTCATTATCTCACCTTCTCTTTTCCCCTCCTCATGATCCTATTTTTTGTCTTTGACCTGTGTCAGTCCTTGATGTCGTTTTGAAAGAATATTCATCTCTCTTAATAGTCACTAACCACACGCATTAATGCTGTCTCATTTTCATTGCCCTGCTTGTCTCTCGCTTATGTAGAAATATGTGCTTGTTCCTGACATGTCTCTTCTCGATCAGACTCACTTGTGGCTGTTGCTGTTGGTTTGTTCCCCACCAGGGGGCAGTGGCACTACACTGATGGCTCAGTGGAGGTCTCAGGCTTGGTTGGAGCTGACACATTCGCAGGAAGTTCCTGAGCATAGCAGCGGACTGAGCTGCATATCAATGAGTCATGATGAATAATGAAGGTTCGAGGAGGGGAGAACATTTTGTTATTAATGTGAATCTGTTGTCTTTCATTTAGATTGCAGAGTTAGTCCCTTTGTAAAGAGGTGTGTTGACACACTCTTATGGCATGATGGTAATTTACTCTGGATGTATGTGTGTGTGTGTGTGTAGACAGTACACACGCATCAGAAGCTGTCACTCAGCTGTAATTAGGGAGAGTCTCTCCTGCTGTCCTCCGACAGTGTTTGAATTTACCTTGCAAACACTGTGCAAATGTACTGTTGTGTGTGTGTGTGCGTGTAGAACATCAACTTGTGTTTATGGCTTATTTGATCATCTGATTTTGCTTCCCGTGAATGTTTTAGCTTTATTATGTTTTTTGTTTTGTACACTCACTTTGGAATCAATATAAGTTTTATTTTTATGTACACTGCAGTGTGTCCATCTGTGTGCGTATGTATATGATGTAAGTACATATGTCATATATGTGTGCATGAGTTGTTTGTGTGTGTGTGTGTGTGTGTGTGAGAGAGAGAGAGAGAGAGAGAGAGAGAAAGAGATTGAGAGCTGTGTGTGATAGCGGGAATCACATTCATTCAGCCTTGGGGTAGGTGAACCCATTGTAAACAATGGATCTGACAGAATCTAGGCCTTCACATCTCTACACCTGTGTGTGTGTGTGTGTGTATGTAGACCTTCATACAAGTCCATTGGAGGCCACTGAGGAACCCCAGGGCAGACCGGCCTCTCTGACCGAGTCTCTTTGTACTTCCTCTCTTCAGGGGCTCCTTCTGTTTGAGGGGAGGAAGAGGAAAAGCAGGAGGAAGAGGAAAAGCAGGAGGAAGAGCAGTGCTGAGATGTGAGTGAATGCAGCCATGGCCTGTACACCCTGTCCATAGAGGAGCGACTGAGTGGAAGAGAGATCAAAGAAGACAGAGATGACCAACAGGTGAGACGACGTCCTGACATACAAATAATGATTATGTTGATAATCAATTAGTATTTTTTTAATTAAATGATTCATTGTTTAGTCTATAAATAGTGAAAAACTAAATAGGGAAAATACTCACCACAAGTTCTCAGAAGTTACTTGTTTAGTCCAAACAGTTTAAAACCCAAATGTATAGAGTTTGTACAGATATAAAACAGAGAAAAGCAGCAAATATTCACATTTCAGGACCTAACACAAGCAGCTCTGCTTGAAAAACAACGATTAATCCATTAGCTTAATTGCTGTCTGTTCATTTTCTGGTCAAATAGTCATTTCAAATAGTCTGCCCCTATGTGAGAATACCCACAGTGTGTGTGTGTGTGTGTGTGCTGGAAGAATATTTTCTTCACGTCTACTCTGTTCTCGGGCATGTCATTTTTTTTGCCTTCGACCTTTGCTGTCTCACCTCTCACATTGTTTCTGTTTGTTCAAAAAGCAATATTTTTTTGTTTGCTGTGCTGTTTGCCCTCTTCCTCCTCCTTTTTTTGGGTAGTAGGGGTCCAACCTCTTCTCATGCCCTCTTCCTCCTCTTTTCCCTTCTGTGCTCCCTCTTTGACCCTCTCTCTCCACTATCCCTCTCTCAGGATGAAACTGTGGGGGAGGTCAGCTTGGCCTTTGCAGGTGGTCTTCCTCGTTGCCTTGGTGATGCTCTGCTTTGACCCGGTGTCCGCTGGAAACCGTAACCATCGGGGACCGACAGGTACACCAGGTCTTGCTCCGAACCCCCCTTCCAACACCAAGAGAGGTTAATTAGACTGTCACTGCAGAGGTAAAACACATGTTCCCTGAGCCTGTTACTGACTGAGTCATCCCGAACCTGGAGGAGGGGGCTGAGCGGGAACAACTTGCTCTGTCCCTCAGTATGACATAATGTAATCTAGAAGACACCTCGTTTTGGGCTTGGATACAAAAACACCCCTGTTTTGAATGATCTAACCCATACAGATATAGATGGCACTTAATCTGTCAGCAGCTGTCAAAACAAATAGATCAGTGTGGGTGTGATCTGATCTATTCAGAGTGGTTGCAGACATCCAGGAGTTCAGGGCTGATGCTGTTGTTCTCAAGCAGCCTGATTCTTAGTGGTTTAGAGTTGCTATAAAATAGGATGTATGTCAGGCCCATGACTTCTAATCCTCAGGCTGATAATTGCCCATGTATACATTAATATGCATAACTCTGAAGTACCCCCTTCAACCAAAGCACCACTTCACTTATTCCCAGAGACATCCATGAAAAAAGACACCATAGCCAGCGCTGACTTAATTGAGGCCCACAAGCTAAATATATTCTTTATCTTTAATTTCCATAAGTCATGGAGACAGGCCTCCCCTAACCAAAAAAATGACCAACACAGTCTTGTTAATATTTCATTGGGGCTGGCTACAGGGACAGTTGTGCTGAGTCACAACATCTTGCGCCTCAACTTGTTGGCGACAACCTCCCAAGTCACTTCTTCCTCACACTTAATTATGACAATTCCCTTAATTATCTCTTGGTTTCTACGCTCTCACTGCTTGTGTTTTGCAAGGTGACCTTTATGTGCCACAGAAATTCTACCAGCATCCAGTCTGTGCAGTGATTGTATTAGCTTCCTTTTGATGGAGAGGAGGCAGCCTGCTTACGGCAGGGACACTACTAATTGCAGGCCCTGTGTATTGTGAAGGTCAGCATGGGTGCCCGCCCCCTTCTTATTTCGCTCTCGCTGTGAAACAAGATGCCTCTCAGACCAACTGGTGCTTTTTATTAAAGGGTTTACTCTAATTGGTGGAAGTTTAGGACTTGTTGGCTGTGAATACCAACATAACACACACACACAGTGGTTTGAGGCTGAAAAATAATTGGCTGTACATTATGACTGCTAGATACATTTTCTGTGTTTTCTACTTAAGTGTTTTTACTGCTGTTTTGTTGGCAGGTCAGTGAGGCATTTGTTTTATCAACCTATTGTTACTGGTGATGTACCATTTGCTGCCACATGGTGGCTCTAGAGGTCAAAAAATGCATCTAAAAGTTTGTTTGTTTTTTTTGACCTTAGTCTCATTTACTAACTGTCATTCTCAGAGGCAATCTGTCAATCTATCTATATATATGCCCAGAACAATAATCACTGTGGGTCAGTTTCAGTCCCGACTCACAAACAAAATGCATGTAATTTACTTAGCAAAGGAAAAAGCTTTGCCCTCTCCTGATCCATATCTTAACACAATGAAACACAGAAAACAATCAACTAATGTATTCATTACTTCTTCTTATTTCCACAGTTGGACCTCTCACAAATAGAACAAGGCTGTGTAGAAAATTATGAAAGCTATTGCCAAACATGCAGCAAATACTTTAGCATGCCCATAAGATCTTTCATTCAATTTGTAAAGTCTTTTACTGTATTTTATAACAATTACACGGAGGAATTCATAAGCAGGTCACACAGTATATTGCATTCCAGACTTTCTTTGCTGGTAAAATGACTGAGCGTACTCATAACGCACTGAGAAGCTCTAAATGATACTCTTAAATCTCGGGCACTGAAATTCTCACATGCCATTTTTCTTTTCTTGTTTGAATGCTTGAAATTTGATTATTTGAGACCAGCAGTTCAGTCAGTAGCTCGCAGAAGTGATACACTTCCATGTGCAAAACTAATGGTGGGTATGGTGACTTTCCACAGCTTGTTAAAGCATGCGTAGCAAATAAACAAAATTGTTTTGGTTTCAGGGACCAAGTACTAATCCATCATTCAATGTACTGTTGTCCACAAATGATTTCTTAAATTCCCAGAAATATACATTCCTTCATGAATTCATGAAGTGTTAGTGTGCCCGCCTTTGCTCATGAGGAAAAAGATACTGTCAAGGCTACTGCTGTACTCATATGGGCACTTTACATTTTTATAAGCAAGCTTGCTGTAGACACAACTGTGTGTGCATCCATGCATGTTTAAATTTGTCAGTGTGTCCTTATCCATGGCTGCTTATAAGATGTCTCCTTAAAAAACAGCACTGGCAAGGTCTTAAGGAGCAGGTTTTAAAGGGGATAGATTTGTTGCGCAGGGGTACTCAGCTATACCAGGGACCTGTTATGATAATTAGCATAAAGCCTGTGGGCCTGTTAAACACTGATAATGTCAGAAGGATTGATGGACTGTGTAGGACCAGGGTGAGGAGGGGATGGAGGAGGGGAAGGAAGGGCAACGAGTGATATAAGAGGGCAAATACAGAAAGAAAGGAGGTAGGTATGGCAACAATAATAATGAAAAAAAAAAAACAATATTAGGACTCGGTCACAGCCAAACACCTACACAGAGTAAAAAAGCAAGTCCTGAAAAGTCAGCTGAACGGGAAAAACAAGATTCAAGCCATCAATACATACGCACCTGTCAGTCATCAGACACCCTGCTGGTATAAAATGGCTAGTGAGTGTCAAGGCCACTGTCCAGGATGAAACAACAAAGATCCAGTGAATACCTAAGGTAGCAGAAAGATCCCGACTAACAAACAGGTGATGGCTAACCAACCAGACATCGTGTTGATCGACAATCAGTAGAAGAAGGCAGCAGTGATAGATGTAGCAATCCCAAGCGACAGCAACATAAAGAAGAAGGAACACGAGAAGTTTGAAAAATACCAAGGGTTGAAATGGGAGCTAGAAAAGATGTGGAGGGTAAAAGTAATGGATCACTGGGGACAAACTGGGAGAGTGGCTCCAGCAGATTCCAACATTTAAAGTCTTTGTCCAAAAGAGTGCAGTCTTTGGAACAGCTAAGATACTGCGCAGAACCCTCAGAGCGTCTGGTAGACGACCTGAGCTTGATGATGATGTGTACCACCCCTATCTGATTACTGTAATCTTGCTCTCTTGAAACTCACCTGTGTTCCGTACAAGGATGTCCCCTCGACATTGACTTTGCTACCTTGGACAGATTTGGTAGATATCTGGCCTTTCATAGCACTGGACATGCTTGTCAAGTATTGACAGAGGAAAGACACGCTTTTTGATAAATTGCACAATGCTCCTTCTTGCCCGTGTCTGTCAGAATGCATCAATCGCCTGACTAACCCATCAGTTGAAGGTAGCTTGGTTTGTTGGCTGCCCACCTACTGTTACAACCCCCCACCAGCCTACCTCCCACCCCACCTCCCTTTGCCTGCCACGGGAATAGAAGCATTTAGCCATGCTTGAGAAGTCTTTTCATCTCCGCTTGTACTGGGCTCTATTACACTGAGATGGCCATAACAGAATGGTTTAAGGCAACATTGAGACATTAGATACAAAGTTATTATGTGTATTTAGCTGGAGGCTGACTGCTCAACACATGAATTTTAAGCAGATGAGGGGTGACAGGCAGCAGCTCTCTGAACAGGGGCCGGTGGGGGATGACAAAACTGACAGTCCTTAGAGTCAAGCTGCAGAACTCCAGTCTGCCCTCCAGACCACTTTCTGATGTGTGGGTCTTGGTCTTGTACTATTTTGATTGCTACTTCTTGGTTTTGGCCACAGGTAGATATTGACCCAGCTTTATGCTGTTCACTCCGAACATCTTCTAAAAACTCACTGACAACTGTTGACTATTTTTTGTAGGTTAGAATGGCTACAATGATTGTGAAACATTTTTGAACAGTTTCTTCTAAATGAAACACAAATCTAATTTGTGCAGCATTTTGCAAACTGAGACAATTTTGACAACTTTCACTTTTAGCCATGCTAGTAGCATGACTGTAGAGAGAGCAATTTCTGTCTGTCTGTCAGACCATACAGTCTATGATACAGACTCACAGAGCTGCTAGCTTGGCTGTAGGCTCCTAGTCTTGTTAAACTGAATATAAAATGCCATACCACAAACAATACAAGGAAATATCTTTATTATGTACTGAAATTGTTAACATTACATACTGAGAGTCGTTTGCTATAGAGACCTACATTTACAAGCTCACCTATCATACCGTCCCTTCATGCACATATTAACATATCCAACTACTTATTATTATTAATTATATTTTTCAGAAATTATAATTTATTCAAATCATTATTGTTGATTAGTTCCTTGGTATAGTGCAGGCTATACGGTACAATCATTGGTGCAGCATGATAAAGCAGCATGATTAAAGGTTTCTCTTTAAGCTGGGAGAAAAAAACAGCTGTCCATTATAAAAGCAAGGTCAGGATGCCATTGATATAAAACACAACACAAAAAGACTATTATTACTGCTCACACCATGGTTTTGTTCTTTACATGCATTTCTATGACCCCACATAGAAATGTTGCCACCTCATCACCGGACCTGTGAGTTTTACACTTCCAAATACTTTGACTTTGCTCTTGATTCAGAAGCAGAGAATAAAACCACAAACTAAACAGACTTTCGTGCACTCTCAAGTTGTAACATCCTGGATCTTGAGATATGATGTGATATATAAATTGAAATGTAGCTTATTTGTGCAGGTCTGAAGAAATTGATCATCTGTTGGGGCTTTAATATGCACACTTAGTGATCATGTCCGCACTCACACTTGGAAAGGCAACTGGGCTCTTCATCTGGAAAGTGGAAAATAAAACAACTTTAACTACAGCCTCTCATATCTGCATGATAAGATTTTCATGAACTTTTCAGGCTCAGGTAAATCTTACTAAAGTAAACTTCTCCACTAAACTGTCAAACGAATATAAGTGACATTTCAGAAATATTTTGTCAACTGAAAAAGGAACCTTCACCCATCATCAAATCATCATCAATGTAAAAATTTTGTTTCTGCATGCAGTTTGTTGTGCTACTCCCTGAAGGCCACACTGGCAGCGTCTGAAACATACTGAGGTTGTTTAGAGTGTCCTTTTGATCTGCCTGTGAAAGAAAGGCTTTTGAAATATTTGCTTGAAGAGCACCTTGGACTCTCTTTTTTCATTAAGCTGCAACTTACAGGAACAAGAAAACCCAACGGAGGCCCTTCTTTACGTAAATAACAGAAATCACTGAGAGAAGCATTTAGGCTTTTCTCTTATACATACATTACACCAGATCCCAAACTAATATTTTAAGGTTTAAATTAGCCTACAAAGCATTGAGAGACACACAAATGACGTTCAGGTTGGCTTATCTTCACTTGCTCACCCAAATTCTTAAAGCTTTACAGTTTTAAAGCATAAAATGACACGGCCCAAGTCTGATGTAGTCAATAAAGAGAGGAGACCTTCTGGCCTCATTATGTCAGCAGGAGGTGAGCTGCTCTTTGTTCTCTCTGCTGCCTGTGACATCACTTATCCTCCTCCTATATAACTCTCCCTCTCTCTTTTTTTCTGACGAACAAGGGGGAGGCTGATTGACCAGTCTTACCCAGTCACTGCTCTGCACTAACAGTGGAGAGTAATGATAATGAGTGCTGATTAAAACAAAGCAATTTGATTGCGTTTGAATTAGACTTTCATTTGTTTTACATTGTTACTCGGTGCTCTCATTGTGATGATTAGTTATAATTACGGCTGCACAGATAGTTCTTTCCCCATTGAGTTCTGTTCTGTTTAACTATATTGTAGATTTTTATCAGTATATAATGGCTATATGCGTTTGTGTGCGCGTGCGTCCGTGTGCGGGGGGCAGCTGCTCCAGCCTCAGGAGAGCCTGAGACAGAGAAGTGAGGGAAATGAAAGTGGAGGGATGATAGCGGAGGGGTGCCCTCAGAGAGCCAGGGATCATTGATGGGGCTCTCTGGAGAAGAGAACAAACAAACTTTAAATCAGAAAGGATGAGAGGGGCCATGGCCTGCAGAAATGGAACCCTCTACAGAGTGTGTGTGCGCTTTGTGTGCACTGAGTTTGTGTGTTTGCAGCTGTGTGTGTGTGTGTGTGTGTGTGTGTGTGTGTGTGTGTGTGTGTGTGTGTGTGTGTGTGGGCTCTTTTGTGCGTGCCTTCAAAGCTCATTCGGCTGAGCGTGAAAATTTTGGGGTCTGGTTAAAGTCACATACATAAATGAAATCTGGGCTTTTGGTACAGTACAACCAAGGTTTTTCCAGGGTTGTAAAGAGGCTTATAGGTAGTACTGTCGCCAGCAGGGTTTGCTGTGCTCGGTGCCAAAAACTCTCAGGAGTGCACACAGGCTTTGCGAGTGAAGATAAGGTGGCTGGAATCTGTTCAGAAGCCATAAACAAAGATTAGATATACTAAACATTTTACCCAGCATTTGTGCGTTTTTGTTTAGGTGGCCATAAAACCTTCCTCCTGAGAGATTCATGGGTGTGTAACTTTAGCATAGACACTTTACAACACACTGCTAAACACTGACATACAACAAAAGCCTATTCACACATTATCCTCGCATTATCCTGTTGTGAAGGAAACCTGTAAATGATGTTAAAATATAAACTACTTACATGACTGTCCCTGCCTGTTTTGGTATGTATCCACATTTCTCTTTAAGCACGTGGATACTAGTCTGTATAACAAAACACACTTTCCCTTAGGATGATAATCAAGGCAGATATTTGGAACATTTTGATAGCACTTTGTTTCTGTAACATCACACACACACGAACACATATTTTGCCATTGTGTAAAGATAATCAATGGAGGTGCTGATTGTGTGTCGTAGGTGTCAGGTGAAAAGCAGTTATCCTCATATTAATCATGACTTTCAGGATCATACTCACAGACGCTCAAATGTGGAGACATGCATGCAGCCGTCCATATACACACACACACACACACACACACACACACACACACACACACACACACACACACACACACACACACACACACACACATACAGACATACTGCATATGTACACATCCACAGATTGAACCCATAAGGATTTATCCTATTAGTGGGTTGCTGCACCATGTCTGTTCAACTTCTTTGCTTAGATCAAGTGGTTTATTATGTTTGATAGGAGTCCAAAGAAATTATTATTTATCATTTCCTGCTGTTGTGTTTTTTTCTCCTGCACACAATGACAACAACAGAGTCGCTTCTGTGTCTAAGTTAATGAGGGCACTTGGCTGAGAATAAAAGCAAAGTATCACTAAAGAGTGTTTACTTATGAATCAAAGCGTATGAGGCTGGAATAAATTGAGGAGTTCATACAAAAGTAAATAATTCAGCATTGTTTAATCCTCTGAAAAGCTGATGGTGTATGTTATTTGCAGCACACGTTTATTTGAATTAAAACTGATTTTTTTGCGGCAACAAACTGTCAAAACACCAATAAGTCATTATAAAAGTCGGCGAATTTCTTGAAAATAATCCCCCTCTCCTCTACTTTCTCTTTGTCTCAGTCTCATACCAGGTGAAGCAGGGGACATGTGAGGTGGTGGCCATCCATCGCTGCTGTAATAAGAATAAGATTGAAGAGCGCTCTCAAACCGTCAAGTGTTCCTGTTTCCCTGGGCAGGTTGCTGGCACCACCAGAGCCAGACCCTCCTGTGTGGAAGGTAAAATCTCCGCAACCCTGTGTGTTTGTGTGTGTGAATGTGTATATTCGTATATCCTAGTGAAGTACTGTATTTTGAGCCCCACAACTGAGATCATTCCCTATGGGTATAAGACATTAATACTTATTTAAGGATAGGCTTCCTTTTTCTGTAAAAAACCAGCCACTTGAAACCTTCATTTTTCTTTAAATGTACTCTTAAGTAGCAGTGTTAATAAAATTCCACATTGTATCAACACTGCATTAAAGCTATATGACACCTACTTTCAGGAAAGTATTCAAACACAGAATGGTGTGTTTTTATTTAAATCAGAGACAAATATTTGAGATGTCTTGTGCATCATTTTCCCACAATTCTGCAGTAGGCCCTTTGCAATTCTGTGGGAACCTCTTTAGCATCTTTCAGAAATTTTGGGACCATGACAAGAATTCAAAATGATGTTTTGAATGTCTGGACGGTGCTTGGCTGCACAACACTGTTTTTGTAATTATTGATGCACTGCTGAATCCGACAGTGTCAAAGAGGCTAAAACGCTTTCAGTCATCTTGTATCATTTACGTTGCTACTTAAAACATCTTGCCTCAAACAAATCATTATCTGACTTATTTGGAGATATTAGTAAAATAAATAAATGAGTCCATTGCAGGAAAGATACATTGTGTTGGATTGCATTCTGTGTGGAAAGTGATTTTTTTAATGCCACAACACAGAAAGACACTGCTTTTTTTCTTCTAGCACAAACAGAGTTAAATCTTTTAAATGTAGTTGGAAACATGAAAAGCTGATGAAAAAAATGACACCTGTCTATCAATCTTAGCAAAGCCACATAATAAAGAAACACACCGGGGGTGATACGGGGAGCCAAACAAACATAGAAAGAAAGAAAAAATAAACACTTGGCACTAAGAATATCCCTGATTTCAAATTGAGCCCGGGAATAAATGTCCACCATGGCCTTCTTTGTTTATGGTAATAATACCAAGACGTCACAGTTAATCTACCGATTATTAAAGTTATTTTAATACACATACACTGGAGAAAGGATGTTTTTCAGCGTTTAGCTGAGATGAAGAAAATTGTACCGTCTGCTAGTCCGATAATGTGTGGTTCATCATGTCCCAAGGAGATCATGTAACATGAAAGGTAAAAGCCACTAATGCAGGTAATGGAAGCCCAGTCACCAGAGTCTCCTTGCCTCCTTATTCCCCCGTGTCGTATGAAAGGAGAAGCAAATATACAACAGCTGTCGACCAAGACTGCCTCGGCCTCAACACTGGAAATTGAAACTGCGGTTTAAAAGGCCTGATTTTATTTGGGACAGCATTCCATTTCATATCTTCGGGCTGATTGAGCATATGACAGGTGGTGATAGAGATAGTATTTTCTTTTAATCTCTTTTATAGGTCAAGACATCAGGCATTAGTGAGGAGGAATCCATATAAAAGATAAGGAACATAATATTTGATTGATAACACAAGCATTGGTGTGAGGGAAGTTATGAGGAAAAAAGATGGGTAAAATCATGACATCAAATCATTATGTTGTTCATAGTACAGAGCAAATTATCCAAGGAGGTCAGCTCACACATACATAGCAAGCACATACAGTATAAGTGTGTTTGTGCCGGTTAATGTGTGCTGTGTCTGTGTTGTGATGAGTGCAGTGATGATAGACAGATGGAAGCTGCGGGTTGTTTTCTTAGACCTTTGTTCCACCCGTTTGTCCGCTCCACGAGCTCCTTCCCAGCAAGAAACAAGCTGTGTCACTGACCCCTATCATCTACAGACGCTCCGCTGAGATCACAGACACACACACATTGTCAGCCAACTCGATCCAATCATGCTGTATTAGCCCCCTACCAGAGGAAAATACATAGTTGTTGAGTAGAGCCAGTGAATCTCCGAAGCACACGGGTTATTCAAACTGTTAAGGTCAGCCTGGGGGTGGAAACTGAATCCATACTCACACAGACCTGAAGGACTGATAAACCCAACACAAATAGAGACTTTGATAAGATGTGTGGACGATGTAATGAAGGGCTGTATTTATCAGACTTGGAACTTGATCAGGTTTGCAGTTTTTGGTTTGTTTATTCCCTATGAAAAAAGAGTGTATCCGCACATTAGCACCCTAATCCAGTAAATGAATGATATCGTAATTATCAAGAGAGAAAATAAACAAATAAGAAAAACACCTGATTCACCCTGCACTACCTTTAGTTTATTCACTTCTATTGACTCAGACTCAGTACTGTAATGGTATTTGGTATTTAAAAACAAAAGGGTTGCTTTATTTGAATGGTATTTTAGGAACTCTAAAAACAAGGAATACATTTATTTTTTGGTTTGATGAATCATTTAACTGTTTTGCAAGATTAAAATTGCATTGTCTTTTTGATGTTCTTTTTACCTTATTAAAACCCAATGAGTAGAATTATTATTTATTTATAAGAATTATGCTTTAGTAGAAGTATTAGTGGTAGCTCTTTGCCACAAACTGGGCCTACACATTTTAAGAGGGTGGCAAAATACAGAAATGACCTACATTAGCATTGTTATTAGGCCAAAAACTCATTCACACTCAATTACATTTATTGTGAGTTGGTCAAAACTGTGATCAATATTCTAATAAATTTAGGAAAAGTCATGGAGTATCAAGCTGATAAAACTATAAGAAAGTTGTTTTTTGTGCTGTTAACGAGGGCCCAGGGTCTCCAGGACCCCAAACAAACATTTTGGTTAAATAACTTTTATTTATTGTTTGTTTTTCATTTGCAACCTAATTACCCACTTTCACTTGCTCCTTAGTTTTATTAGCAAGTAGTTTTTTCCCTTTGAAAAGAAAGGAGCAAATGTGTTTGTATTTCACTTCTGATTTTCTGTGCTGCATGCATGTGTCCATGCACCTTCCATATTTAGCAGTCACTGTTATCCATGAAGCACCTGGCTTACCACCTCCATCCATTGTGCCGCTGTTCCTGCATGTGGCCAGTAGACGGTGCTTTTCCCATTCAAATGACTCAGTCACAAGCACACTTGCTAGTTCATTTCGGCACTGTTTTCACCCAATAAAAAAAGTAGATTTGCTGTTGAACCTCTTTGATGAGTTCCTAGATGGGAATTGCGTGATAATGATAAAATCAGGCAACCATAGCAAAGATGATTGGCTCTGTAATGAAAGCTGGGATAAATAAGGAATCATGTGAAACTTAGCTAGCCTTTCAGAATAGGCATATCCCTGGTGCTTTGCTTTTGTTTGTTCACCTCTCGGGATAGTTTGCTAAGAGGAAGGAATGACACTGATGAGAAGCTAATAGACCATAGACTGTGTTACTGAAAGTTATTCGATAATAAATTATTTTTGATGGTCTTAATCCCCCCCCCCCCACACACACACTCACACACTCACACACACTCACACAAGCAGCTCAGTTCCTCCATCACCAGCCATGAGGTTTTGAAATTTCCTATTCAGATCCCACCTCTGAGTCTCACCACCTCTCGCTTCCAAATCCAGTGCTCAGCAGCACTTATCTTATGAGTCACGCTTGACCTCTGTGATCACAGTTACAAAAGATCTCACCTCATCCAACACTGTCTTAGGCACAAACACACGTCCATGCAAACACACATCCACACACGCTACTCTCACCTTTTAAGCCTGAGCACAGATGGAAAGAGACAAACCTCTCTCTGTAGCCATAGTGTAAATGGAGTTACATTATTCATGCTGGCTGAAAGAGGAGTACATGGCAGCAGGTCCCATTACTGTGAGACCAACTTTTTCTAGTGAAGTCCATTCTTCACAACATCTCAGCATTCTGTTCCTTGATTTTTTTATTTGCCATGAAACACACTTCTTTTTGTTTTGACTTTCTAGTAGAATTAGTGGTGTGTTATGTGTGTAAATGAAGAGTTGAAGAGTGCTGTAAGTAGTACAAAACAGTTTTCAGAGGTAGAATTGAGAATAGCCAATAAATAGAGGTCAAGAGGTTAATCTGTTTTGTTTGGTGACAAACTAGCTTGTCTAAGTAAACAAAATGTGTGTCCACTGTTTGGTTTTACTGCAGTACCATTCAGGGTAAATACAATGTTTTTTGTCTCAATTGGGTTTCTGCCAAGTTTAGTTAAACTCACATGGCTAGTTAGGAATGTATTTGTTATGTCTTGGGCTTTTGAGCACCTCCCGGGAATTAATGTAAGTCTGCGCAATGTCAAAGTCTGCATTCATAATATTAGCATCAAAAAAAGTATCTCATTATTACTCAATTATTGATTCATTAATGTGTAAGGGGCACTTTAATGTTTTAGCTGATACAAAGCTAAATGGAGCCATTTTATATACTGCAGGGTCATTTAACCTAGAACAATGTGCCACATTAAATTAACCTCTTTGCTTTTATCTAAGAAAGTAGTTACTGTAACCATTAGGTGAATGTAGTTTAGAGCAAAGGGTACAATATTTTACAGAGACAGTACAGAGTGACATGCCAACGCTGCATTTATGTGTTCTCTGAGAACCAGTAAAAAAGGACTTAAAATCTTTCCAGCATTAAAGTGTGTTTGGTGATGGAGAAAGACGGGCAGCACAGAGACTTGATAAAAACAGTGGATGAGTGGATTTAGTTTGGTGTGTGGTTTGCTGAACTCAGTGACAGACAAACTATGTTTCATTACTGGGCAGAAATGTAGTTTAGTTGTTCAGCACACATCCACCTGCTGTTGTTTACTGTATCTGCTCCATAATGTCATGCTTTTGACATTTTGTCAGTGTGTTCCTGTGTATGTGTGTAACCGTTCACCGTGTATAATCCTTTTCTGACAGTTTTTCCGCTGCACTTGTGTTTTCTCGTCATGCATACCTGGGTGTGCTGGCATGGCTGCGTGAGCCGTGGCAACAGAGATACAGTATGTTAGTAAATCATTGTAGAAAGAGATGGATGCTTCTCTCCAACTGCTTCTGCACTCCAGGATCACTGAGTGGAACAGATACAATGCCTGAGGGTATCCATACCTCTGGGTCCATCCCAAACTTCTTGTTTGTGTGTGTGTGTGTGTAAGAGAGAAAGAAAATGTACATCATATTACCTTTAAATATTAATGACCTGGGAGCAAGGGCACAGGACTGCTTGTGATTGTGCCTGACACCGCACGGTGGGGACTGCATACATGTACACACACAACAAACAGAAAGGAATCTATATGTGCACACATGCAAATGCACAGTACACAGGCCCATACACACAGATATAGCTGTTTGCGTTGCTCCATTGAGTGAGCTCAGATAGTACATTTGTTAAGTATTAATACGCACTCTAACAGACATACGCCACAGTGCACATATTGTATCAGTATGCCTGTCAACAGCCTACATCTTAACAATACCACAGGATATGTAGTTACTGAATTTGTTTTTTTTTAATCAAAGGCTAATCTATTATTCTTTATCATGTAACTTGAATGACTTGAGATGAAAAGGTTATAGGTGAAGGAAGTCCCTTTGAACTTGCATAGTTGATGGAGACGTATTCAATTTAATTACATAAAATTAATTTTCTATGTCATTGTTGGACGGTAGAGTAAGTTGACTGATTGGCTTAGTGTGAAAAATTCTCATTCATATAGTGTTAGATATATCAATTAAGCCTGGTTTTGGTCTTCCTTCCTTCTTCCTTGCAGAAAAGGGTGTGAAGTGAATGTTTGCTTATTTCTAGTGAAAATCTGAAATAATTCTTCCACCCAAAGAAATGGTATGGTGTTTTTTTGTCATTAAGCACTTGTTAAATATCTGCGGATGTGGCACACGGCACACATTCTCAGTGTTAATTGGCTGATAACAAGGCATTCCATACACGTAGCATAAAGGCTTATATTTGGTCATTGTAGTCTAATTAATACTTCAATTATGTGAAGTCACAGAATAAACATGTGGATGAGAGGACCTGCAATTTCAACTTTGTCCACTTGATGTCACAAACATGACAATGACAATTCAGACGGCACTGCAGGAAGAAATGAACAGAAGCTGTGTTGGGATGAATCCTCACACAACACAAACAAAAATGAAAAGGTGCAACAATAACAGGCATAACGATGAGTGACATTTATCAAGTGTGCGTGAGAGTGACGTGTTGTGATCAGTAAGAGGAGAGACAGAGCTGTAGGCAGCCTTGTAGCGTGAAACCTCAGCAGACCTTATTTAGACAACCCCAGAGACTAGGCGAGAACCTGGGGAATAACATAGCCTCAGTCCCTTGTGCTGCCTAATCACCTGCACCTTAAGCAAAGCACTGTCTAGACGTTCGCCCTCAGCTGAGCCTGTGCTGAAAGTTTGAGAGAGAACTTAAAAGGGAACCATTTTGAGTGCAAATTCCATTGTAATGAGCTGATAGTAACTGTAATGAAATGCCTCAGCTGTAAACCCTTTTTTAATTAGCATATGCACCTTTTGTGAATATAAATATACACTGTTAATGAGACTGATGCAATTAGAGTAGGAAGCTGAGAGGTACTCCATGTGTTATACACATTTTTCCTGGAGAATATGCATCATTCTGTCTATTTCAAGAACTTGGCAATGATTCATTTTCACATTTACTTCAATATAATAGTGGGGAAAAAAGTGTAAAGTTTTCAACTTTGCTCAATCATTTTGAAACTAACTGAGCTAATAACGTTATTTAAGTTTTTCTGGTCTTCACGCATCGACCAATGTGACTCGGAATAATGAACAACTTGTTAGCTTTGTAGCTATTTTTTTTTTCTTTTTTGTTTTCAGTCTTTGCTTTAAGCTAAGCTAAGCTAAGTTTAGTGACTTCTGGTGGTGGCTTCATATTTACCACACAGAGTGGTATTGAACTTCTCATATATCCCTTGACAAGGAAGCAAATACTTTCACAAAATATCAAACTATTGCTTTAAAGTAGAGTTCAAGATGTCAATTCAGAGTGGAAATCAAATGCTATACCTTCAGAAACAGTTAGGCAGAAAGAGTAGGTTTGTAGGCCATTTATATGGCAGCCGACCTCAAAGGCATGACAGTAAAAGGGTGAATCCAACTAGCACCCATCAGCAGCCTCTACACATTTTCTATTCGTAGGGCATGGAAAAATATATGGTCCCAGAAGTGATGATCTCAGAATTAACTAGGCCTACTGTACACACACTAAGTGCCTTTGTAATCTTTTTATCATTGACCTGTTTAGACCTGTCTGTGAGTGCTGTCCAACATCTGAACTATCCATGACATCACAGGCCTCATAGCGGCTGCTGATAATTCTCTGACTTGACAGGCAGGTGCTTATGTGTTGTGCCCGCCCTGCCCCACAGTATAGCATGAGATAAGCTGTGGGGAACGCTAACTCCATAATAACACTCACAGGCCATGCCCATTAGCTCTAAATAACACTCTTGCAGTGAAAAGCACCGTCGTCGACACCATAATGGCCACATTAACGAGCATTACACAGCCATTGGTTTTTAGAACCGCTTACTGCCACTGAGCTCATGCATCATAACAGTGTGTTCAACATTACGCTCCGTGATGGCTTTTTTTCTTTTTGGTTACTTTGCAACTTGGCTTTGGCTTCCTTCTTTTCCTTGCATATCTTACTGTCTCTGACGTTGCATTTGTGCTGCCTATTTTCCACTCTGCCTCAGTTCATTACTCACGTTCTCTCTATTCTCTTTAGTTAATCTACTCCTTTCTCCTTTGGACTCAGTGATAGTCATTCTCAAACAGCCTCTTTCCTCCCCAACCTTGTCTGCCTGCCTCTCTCAGTTCCCCTTGCAGCTTATTTCCACTCTACAAAGATGTTTTCACCTATTATTTAGCCTTGTCTTCCTCCCTCTTCTCCTTCTTCCCTCGTTTTCTCTCAGTCACAGTTTGCTTTTTACATGATGCTTGAGAGGATCTGTCCATGTTCTTTTCCATTATGCAGTTAAAAGCACCATCAATCCACGAGTTTAATGAAGTTGGAGAAACGGGTGCACTCATTTATCCCTCCCAGCATCCACACTTGAGACAGGAGGATGGATGGAGGATGAGTTAGGAGAGAGGGAATTGAGTTATTCTCAGCTGTCGGGCTGTCTCCTGTCTAGACAGTGGGTCAGATGATCTGGAAGATTTGAGTGTCAGCTGCTAAGGCATGAGAAAACTTTGGGTTTTAACGCTGGATTAACTGTGGATCAGGCCAAGTTCTGAAGCTATGAAAATTTGATACAATTGGGGAAATTTGGTTTCAATCAGCTTGAAAACAAAAAACGGAAAAAGTTTTTCACAACATTGCATGGAATGCAAGAGAGAGTTTCAGAGAGGGCTTTCATGCCTGCAAAGATCATACAGTAGATTAAAAACATTAGTGTCTTTTGTCTCAAATACACAAGAGGAGACGTGGGAGAATGCTATTTAATTGAAAGCATTGCTTCATTATAATCCTGTTCTTGCTTTCTGTATTAAGCAATAGGAATAATTAAAAAATGTGTGACAAAATCACCCCTGGGAGTAGTGACAATACAGTATCTATTCAAAGACCTCTGTTTTGTTAGAACATCAGCAGCATTAACAGGTATCCATATCTGATTTTGATTGTTTATATTCCCGTTTAGTTATTGCTGCCCAGCTATGACAGTCAAATCATAGTCATAATTCCCCTGTTCTGTCTAATTTCCTTTTTTCCCCTCTCGTGGATGACATGCTTACCTATTCCATAAAGGCTTTAAAATCCCATGTTGAGGGATTACATTAATCTGATTAAAATGAAAGGAGGGTTATTGCTATACATTTTAGCACAGTTATGATATTAAAGATGAAAAAAACACTGCTGAGAGATACTGAAAGTTTGAACAGAACCATGGAGCTGATTGTACTATAGTCCCAGTTGTAGGATCAGCACCATGGACAGCGCTGTGACATTTACTTTGTAAATATGTGCTGTGGGCTCATTATTTCAGTTGTTATGTTATACTCTTGCCTTTTGTCATTTATCCAGTGCTCTTCATCGTATCATAGTATCCATTTAGTAACCTTACCGTTTTTCTTTTACTCTAAACCTCAATTTCCTGCTCCAGCCTCCATTGTAGCCCAGAAGTGGTGGTGCCAGATGCAGCCGTGTATGGACGGAGAGGAGTGTAAAGTCCTGCCTGACCTGACTGGCTGGTCCTGCAGCACTGGCAACAAAGTCAAAACCACCAAGGTGAAAAGAATGTCTGTCAGTGTTTGTATACAAGTGCAAGTGTGACCCTGTTCGCATGCCTGTCTCTCTTTCTCTCTCTCAGTGTCTTACTGACACTGAGTTGTGTGTACATATTCTGCATCTGTCAACTACACATGCTGGTGATTTTCTTTCATTTTTGCCTGTGCTGTTTTACGTGCATACACAGTATCGCCTGGGAAACAAATGATGTCCAGAAAGAATAAATGAATGTATTACTGAGCATCTTCCCGCTTTTGATCAACCATTTGATGTAGCTAGGGCTGACCTGATCTTCAGTTGAATAGTTTTTTCCCTCCTGTGAAACACCTTGCTTCACTTAGTGTCTGGTAAACAAACCTTCAACTGGATAACTCTTATTTCTGTTTTTCATACTGTATATGAAATGAAAGAACTTGTGTGAACCAAGAATATTTGAAGATAATCTTATAAAAAAAGATTGTTTGGATCTTCAAGATGCCCATGAGAGTAGTCAAATTTAAGCACTCATTTCAAAAATCAAAAAAAGATTATGAATAAAATACAGAGCTAATCAACAAGCAAACCCCGCAGTGAGCCTTAATTAAGATCAACGCTATATTTTGGACCTTTTAGACCTAGCCTACTACTTATCCAACAGCCTAAAAATTTGACAGGTGATGTGAGACTTGCTACTTTGTAGCTAAACTTAACCATGATTGACCTGTTGAGCAGATAAAACACACCTCTGTGTCGGTTTTCATTCTTTTCAAATCTTAGAGGTTTCTCCCGTGTCGAAACGCCTCACAGATGTTAACTCAGGTCTCCCCCCTTGCCTGGTCATATGACTTCTTTCTCAGGTTGTACTCTTCAGACCTCTCTTCCTCTTTGACTGTTTCTCGGCCATCTCTCCTTGACTGAGTCCAGCATGTTCAAATGTGCTGGCTTTGTAGAACTCTCTCCCCCACTGCCTTCTTGCTCCATCACTCCTGTGCGCTTAACACTAACGCCACCTGTTGTTGATTGGCTGGAATAATGTTGTGGCAAGATCGGCACCACTTGCTTTGTTTTTCATTTACAGTGACAAGGCTGTGTTTTTCTGGTCTTTCTAAGCACACACAAAACAGAGAGCTAGCTAACAGTCTTTGCACCACACAACCACTGTTTACACCACATTTTTCCATGTAAAATGACGCTATTCAGATGAGCTAAATTGATTCAAATGAGGGCCCTTCATGGCCCTTTGTAAGCTGTCGAAGTATGAAAGTTAATTTGTGGAACTGACGACTGGGGTGTATGTATATAAGTGGCAGAGTGCATGTCAGGGGATGTAGCAGGTGCAGTTCATTTACAGGTGAAAAATGAAAAAATAAACAGTTGTGAGGGAAGTAGTGCAGGCGCCATAGGAGTAATTGCTCGAGAGATAGCATAACATCACAACATCTGTCGCATTCATTAGAATGCATTATGGTTGGGGCCTTCCACAGAGGCTTTACAATTAAGAGTCATAATTAAATTGGTGAGTGGGATAGACTGAGAAACAGAGGCACTGCTGGGCTCAGTCACAGGCAGTGGAATTAATGACCCTGGGCCTAACACCAACTCTGGGACTGATAGGTGCAATTATCCTCATTATGTTGCATGTTGCCATCTCTCTTCTTCTTTTTCTTCTTCTTCTTCCTTTTCTTTCTCTCTTGTTCTGTCGCTCCCACCCTCTCTGACTAGCTGATCAGCTGAGAGAGGAAATGAGGCGCCAATGGCTGACTGCATCAGTGGACATTAATTGTGCATTTGCAAGGTGCTTTGGGACCGCGGAGCAGTTACTTGGAGACTTGGTGGCAGATGTCACTGAAGATAGTTGCAATGAGACATCGATTCCCTGGCAACTGCTCGCCCTGCTCTCTCACTCCCTCTGTGTCTCTCTTCTTTGTCCTGCATCTCTCTTTCTACCCATGACCTCCATTGAACACCTCACCGTCTTATTCACCATGATGACCTACATCTGTCCATCTCTTTCACTCCCACACAGCGTAGGTGTGCTGTAGACAGATGCATAGATAGCCTGACTGAGGCACCACAACACTGCTTATTAAGGAACAGCAAAGACACTGCACCATAAGATACATATTTCCACATTCCCATTTCATATGTCTGGCTTTATGATAAAACATTTACAGCATTTTTCATTGCTAAAACTGGATATATATATTTCAAGCAGATTTTTTCATAATTAATGCACATGGGATGGGGTTTGTTGATGGAAAACAAGCTCTATACATCTCCAGTTGTATGCCTTCAACTTACTTCCTAAGTGTAAACAAACCATTACAGCTCTGAGACATGTGAAATCCAGCTTTAGCAGTTGAGACGCTCTTGGTCCCTGCAATCAGTCAGCCAGCTGGACAGGAAAAAAAAACATTTTCAATCCAATGAGAAAGACAGAGAGCCAGAAATAGAGAGGGAATGGTTTAATTTGGAATATTCTCCTCTGACCTCTGATTGACTCTTTCAAATGAAAATATACATTCAGCAAGTGCGATGTGGGACAGAGTCTATGTAATTACATGTCTCTGTGACACTGATTCTCTCCTCTTATCTATGGTATTGTTTTTTTTTTTAGGTCACACGATAGCAAGAGAGCCACTGAGCCACGAGGAAACCTGAAACTCTCCATGTGGAAAGGATGGATGACTTACACATATTTACTGAAAGATGGGGAAAATATTAAGGGACGGACTGCTATCCATCACAAAACAATGGGATAAAATGTGCTCATCAAAAACTATGTACACATGGCAACATGGAGCCAAACATACAGCATATACAGTATGCTGGTTGGTGAGACCAATGGACTACATTTATGGACACCCAGGGTACAACTGAACACAAATGGACTCTTATTTTCCAATAATGGACAAAGTGTGGATTGATCAAAAATGGTCAATTTAAAACACAGATCAAGGATTTCAAAATATATATTTCAACAAAGCATTTGTGGATGAGTGTGAGATGTGAACTAAAAGCTGTGCTTAGAGTGCTCCTGGACACAGTCCAGCCCCGTTGTCAATATGTAGAGCTGATAATTTGGGAGAAATGAAAGCAATAGCAGCTCATAACTAGCAAATAGCAAATTAGCATCAAATTGCTCTTGTGGGTCAAGTCACTACCATGAAGACTGTTTTGGGGGAGTCATTTTGCAGTTCTAATTAGGAATTGCCGGGTAGGATCATAACAACATATTAAAAATTCATGTAAGATATTTGCACTAGTTGAAACCGTTTGGGAATGTTTTGTTTTTCTAGATATCTCCCATCTTTTGCTGTGAATGTTACATGAAATTGAAGGTGAGCATTTTGTAAACTGTCTAACACTTGAAGTAGATAAATGTATGTATTATGGCCCATTACTCCTGAGTAGTTATTGGTTAAAAATGGCTCAGACTATTGAGCCTCGCTTACATACAGCTTGGTACAATATGACTAGCAAAGTGTGATTCATCTGTCTCAGTTTTGCCCAGAAACATTTCCAAGCTCAGCCTTCAAAGTTATATATCTTTGATCTATTATATTCAGTCTGTGACATCTCTTATGTTAACTGTTAAACGGAGACCCATAAAATGTTCAAACAAGGAGGACAAGTTGTCTTTACACTGTTGTTTTACTTTATTGGAAATGTTTTCTCCTTTCTCTCTCTAAATGTTCAGGTTCTTAATCTCTAAAAGCACTGTAAATACAAAACAATGAATTTATGAATAGGGGTCTTTTAACTACCTTTATTAGGAGAAACAGTATGTTTTTGTGCGCGCATTGCCCATTGATTGCTTCCCGAATCCTTCTCCACATCAATGCTTTATTGAGTTACACTGAAATAATTGCCACCTATAATGGCAGTTCAACCCTTTGCAAACATGTTTTTCCCCATGATCATTACTGTACTGCTTACAATAGCGTAGTGCTCCATACAACCAACTTATATCTCTCCATTATCTCTGTCCATTGTGCCTCTCACACCCCCTTTTCTTTGAATCTTTCTGCCCCTCTCTGGTGCCCTTCTCTCTCTCTTCTGCTGCATTGCATATCATACAAACGATGGCACAGTGAAAATAGTTTCCACACACTTTGTCCCACACACTACATCTTTATTTCTCAGCTGTTTGCACTAGTGGGTTGATTTTTGATCTCATGCTTTCCAAATCCATCTCAACTACACACACATCCAAGTGCAAGTCTTTCTCAAACTGTATCTGTCTGCCTCTCTGATATGTGAATGTGTTGGGTCAGTGTGCCCAGGGGTTATCCCGCTGGGGGGCTGCTCCTCTGCGAATGAGAGCCTCTGCTTTCAGGCATGCTGTTTTGTGAGCTATGATAAATCTATGGGAGCTGAGCCGCTGCCTCTCCAGCTCCCGTGCTGAGCTCTTTGCCAGAGGGAGCTAGGGGACAGCAGGGCTACCGGTGGCAGGCAGCTCCACTCTCTCATTACTGAGAGGCCTGGATAGCACTGGGGTTCTCTTGGGACCACTGACATGGAATATTTTTAGGCCTACGATGCAGCACTGCAGTTAGGCCAGTCACACCACAATGCTCTTTCCTTGAGCTGCGTCTCAGCAACAATGGTCCATTTAGAGTGGGGATATGATGGCTTTCTGCAGCCGCATTCGCACACTACATTATATTAACCTACATTCACATAAATACACTTTTCAAACTTTTACCAGCCTCCCTCGCACTCACACCCACATAAACAGAATGATGTTTCAGAAATGAAAGTGACAAGCCTTAATTATAGCCAACGTAAGGCAAAACAGCTCCAGAGCTGTGCAACATCAAACCATATGAGGGCTCTGTTTCCTTTCCTCACCCTCTCTCCTCCCCCCCATCCTTACATCTCTCCCTCTCCTCCAGAGGTTTGGTATCCTGTAGATGAGCCTGGCGCCTTGCTCCCTCCGTCCTACATGGTTGTCTGCAGCAGAATCAATATTTGAGAACAATTTGCACTGCGCTGCTCCCTGGTGGCTGGTGTTTGACGCTGCAGCTCCACCTTCACATCTGACATCGCTTAGACCTGCCAGGGAAGAGATTCACAGCTCGTCTCAGGTCACCACTATTTAACAAGAAAATCTGCAAAGTGCATCGTACATAGATATACAATTGCTGTGCAGGCTATCTAGACCTGCAGTAGAGCAGACACACACTCCTCCGCCTTTGCCAATTTATGAGAAGGAAGACGACTGAACTCACTAAAAGGCCTCAAGGTATCTTGGAGGGATTTCCTATTACCATATTCACCTTTAATGAGATGTTACATAGCATGCCAAATTTGCAGGCATCCGTGCCCATCCACGTGTCTATACATTTTCTGTTCTTTGTATTAAAAAAGCCTCGGACTCACACCCTGTTACCAGCTGGCTTCAAAAAAATGAAAGAAATCTATTCACTGTACGAGTTGTGCTTACAGACACATTCTTCAGTGTAAAAAATTAATCTTGTTTTTAACTTGAAGAACATGTGTCTGTAGTGTGTCAGTAGGCGTCTAACCTACCAAACATCCCATGGAGACAAATTGCTTTCATCTCCACGGGTTAGCAACTGGTGGGACCCAGAGGGCAGGACCCACAGAAGCAAACAAACAGCACTGAGGACATGACTCTAGAATAACATGCTAATGAGAATGGATAGGCACGTTGAGAAAACAGAAGAATAATGAGCTACCTAAGAATAAACAGTGATAAAGAGATATAGCTATAGTGTTTGAGAGAAGGGCTGTGTGTGAAGAGTATCTTAAGTATGTCTTTGTTTATGCTCTAAGCCTGTGTGGCTCCCGAGGGGCCACTTGCATCGTCAAACCAAACGCCTCCAATAGTCCATCATCACACTCATCGGCAACACACACAATCTGTACCTCGAGAGGGAGAAATAAAGGGATGAAACACTGTCGCCTTGGCTTATGCATCATCTTTTCACAAGTCCAATTTGTATTAGCCTCCAGCCATATCCAGGAAATATGGGTTCAGGATTCATGTTCAGTGAGAATGGTAATCTTCAGATGAAGTGAGTCTGTCAGAGGCAGAGAGATGTGTGACAACTCGAGTCAGCTAGGAAAAGACAGCTTTGCCATTGTAGAGGAAACAGCCTCCACCTCCTGCTGTCTGACATTGATTTAATATAAGTTAGAGGGAGATTAGCTGATGAAGAAGATCTGATCGACGTTATCTGTGTCGGATGGCAGTCGCTGGTCTTGTCACTGTCACTTCAGAGGGAACAAATCAACTCAAGCCAAAATGTTTCCTTCAAGAGATCAAATCTTTCAGGTGCAATAACCATGATATATAATTACACAAATATACTCAGATGTGTGCACAAAAGCTCTCAAAAAATACATTATTCAAACCCCATCTAATTGTATTCAGGTCTTTTATCATCACTCGGCTCACTAGAGAACACAATGCTGTCAGCCCCCTTCATTCAGTATTCCGGTGCACCACAGCTTTTAGCCAGGTGATAACCAGCTGGTTGGTTGCCTGGTTGGTCAGGTGATGATGTGGGGATTAATTGCATTAGCTCCACTCTCTTACCCAGTATAGAATATGTGACAAAAACACCCCAACACAGCCCATTACAATTCAATGAAACCAAGCAAAAAATAACCCGGCAAACAATCAAAAGTGTCTTTAATATTCATTTTGCGGCAGGCCTGCGACGGGCCGATATTGACGGTGGAGTGAACGGGGGATTCATTAACATTTTCGCCCTCACTGCTTCCTCTTGCTGAGCCATTCCTTGCTGCGTCGTCAAACTCACTTATCTCTCTGAAGCAATTAGCCACTGGAGGCTCCATTGACCTGAGCTTTTGTTAGACTAACGGGCTACATTAGCATGGCCATAGCCTGGCAGTCTTGGCAATGCATGTGTCTGTGCCAATGTGAGCAGCACTGATAAAGAGGAGCCCCACAGTGTTCACATGCATGTGTGTTTAGGAGGGCACAGGAGCTGCATACATATTAACTGGTTGCTATCATTGTGTCTTTTGTATTGAGCCCCTATATGCCCTTTATGTATCTGCGTACGATACTGTATGTATGTGTGGGCTATAGTCCTGTTTGCACAAGGGGTGTGTGAGTAACTGAAGTCAAAGTAAGCAATTCATATATGTTTGTGAATGTAATTTTGTCTGCCTTTATGCCATGACATGCAAAAAAATAGCAAGAAATTAATGCACTGCACCACTGATAATGCACACACCAGCTATCAGACACCAGCAAGATACATTTCAGTACACAGTCTCTCCATTGTATTGTGTGGTATGCGAAACACACACAAGACACAGAAAGGACAGAATAAGTTTTGCCTACGGAAGCTATTCGATTACACACATATACACTTGACAATATGATGGGTGTTTGCAGGGGAAAAGCTTGCTTGCTTGCTTGCTGTCACTGCTGAGCATATAACTACAGAGACTGAGAGTATGGTATGGTAACAGCGCTATTTAAAGCCTGCTTCTAATTGGAAGGAATTGTATTTACTTTACTTTCACACTCAGTTGTGGAGAAAGATTTGCACACTGTAAAAATCCTGCATTGAAAATGTTACTCGCAAAAATGTACTAAAAGTAAAAGTACGCCTTCTCAATGCAGAAAAATGTCATCCTGTTATACTATTGTATATTATATCATAAGATTGTTATTACTCATGAACATGCAATATGCATGAGTAATAACAATGCAATGTCTTTGGCTAATAGATCCCGGCATGACATCATGTCTAAAGTCCACAACAAAGGAGAAATGGGTGAAGGAGGGCCAGGGTAGTAGGTATGGACAGAGCAGACAGCACAGCTGCTCTGGGACCCCATGAAGTTTAAAGCTGGACTTTTGTCAATTGCACGGTAAAAACACTCTTAGTGTCATCATGTCACAGTAGATACCTAGCTCACCATAGGCAATTCTTATAATGATGATCAAGTGGTGTATACAGTGGGTACGGAAAGTATTCAGACCCCTTTAAATTTTTCACTCTTTGTTTCATTGCAGTCATTTTCCAAAAATCAAAAAAGTTCATTTTATTTCTCAGTAATGTACACTCAGCACCCCATCTTGACAGAAAAAACAGAAATGTAGAAATTTTTGCAAATTTATTAAAAAAGAAAAACTGAAATATCACATGGTCATAAGTATTCAGACCCTTTGCCGTGACACTCATATTTAACTCAGGTGCTGTCTATTTCTTCTGATCATCCTTGAGATGGTTCTACACCTTCATTTGAGTCCAGCTGTGTTTGATTATACTGATTGGACTTGATTAGGAAAGCCACACACCTGTCTATATAAGACCTTACAGCTCACAGTGCATGTCAGAGCAAATGAGAATCATGAGGTCAAAGGAACTGCCTGAAGAGCTCAGAGACAGAATTGTGGCAAGGCACAGATCTGGCCAAGGTTACAAAAAATTTCTGCTGCACTTAAGGTTCCTAAGAGCACAGTGGCCTCCATAATCCTCAAATGGAAGACGTTTGGGACGACCAGAACCCTTCCTAGAGCTGGCCGTCCGGCCAAACTGAGCTATCGGGGGAGAAGAGCCTTGGTGAGAGAGGTAAAGAAGAACCCAAAGGTCACTGTGGCTGAGCTCCAGAGAT